CGCCATTTGCCGTTGGGTTTCATGACTGGCCATATCGGAGCAGAGTATGTGCTGTTACAGGGCCGGATGACCCCCTTTTCCAGCATGGAGTCAACAATTTCTTGCACTGGCTCATATGATGCTATTGGAATCTTGTACTGTCGCACAAATGTGGGTGGTGCATTTGGGCTTGTCGGAATGCGCACACTGTGGATGTTGGTCAGTCCACAGTCCAGGGAGTCCTTTGCGAAGGAGTCCTTGTACTTGTACAGAACCTCTCTGAGTCCTTGGCGGTCTGCTTCCTTGTGGAGGGCATCCGCCTCACTCAGGATCTGTTGGATTTGCGCGGCGAACCCGGTGTAGGGTTCCTCCATGGTTAAGTCATTTGAGGGGCTCTGGGCCGTGATGGTCACCTGTGCAGGTGATTCTGTTGCGAGCTGTGTTGAGACAGCGTAGACTGCAAGGTGAGTGTCGTCTGTGATTTCTGATCGGCAGACGCTTTCTCTGGACACTGGCAGAATAGAAGTTGTAATGACTTGTATCATTTACATTTATTCATTATTAATTTGTAATTATAGGGAATTAATGATTATTAATTTATTTAGATTTTGCTAGAACTCGGGTCGGAATGTCCCAAGTCCACCTGGTTAAACCATTCCAAATTTGTTAGTTTTACTTCAAATCAAGGTCGTCCAGCGCCGGTGATTCTTAGTAAATGTATTACAAATTTGATATGTGTCTTCCTGGCCACGGTCAACACATTAAATGATTATTTGTAATCTCTTAACAGAGGTAATTATTATACGTAAGCTACGAGCTAGGTAGCAAGCAAGGATCGTTTGGCAATAGAATTGACACGAAAAATTATATGAGCCAAGAAACTTCCTGTTTATAAATGAAACATGAATTTTATTGGCTAATCTAGATTACATAAAAACCTAACTAAAACGTACACATACACACAAAGATTCAAGGAAATGATTTGATGGAGTTGCATGAAGTTTTCAAAGTCCTAACTCGTTTAACGAGTGGTTTTAAATTCAGCCTAGGAGAACACCAAGCAGCAATTGTCTTATCTTTACTGTTTAATTCAATTCTACACCAGGTCAGCTGAGTTGAAGATTTTGTTCGTTTACTTGCGTTCTGTTTAGTTGAGAGCTGAAACGCTGAGGCAATTCCTTCGCTGACGCAGGCGTGCTGGAGGGGATTCCGTTGCTGATTGGCTGTTGATCTGACGTTGGAATGACGTATGGATGACGTCCTTTTGGGAAACCCCTTTTGTTGTAGTTGGTTGATTCCGTGATGACACAGAGGCTTGAGCAGTCCTGCTAAAAGTCTGAGTT